GTTTCATAGAGCTATTTAAATTGATGCAGATGGCTTCATTTATCTAACAAATCAGCATCTCCATTTTGCTACTAAACTTTGGTATCTTAACTGAGGTCACTGATGTAAAAATATTCTCTAAAACCTAAATTTTATATTACTTTTTAAAAATTTCATTAATTTATTTAACTGGAGGCTAATTACAATATTTTAGTTAAAACCTTAATTTTAAAATGACTATTTACAGAATAAAAAATAAATAGCAAATAAAAAATCCTTACATATAAATAATAGATGTAATTAATGGCAAGCAAACCATACCAAAAAATCAGAGAGTAAATATACAACCAAAGTATTAGGAGAACTTCCTTCTAAATTTATAAAAAAGGGATAATCCTGTGATAAATATGCTACATTAATGGAAAAAATTATATGAATGTATTGTGCTTTAACTTTTAATGAATAATTTCCCAGTCCTCTATTGTAAAATTATGTATTCATAGAAAGATTTACATATGGGTCTTCATAACGGCCTTCACACTATCAGTTCAGTCGCTCAGTCATGTCCTACTCTTTGCGACCTCATGAATCGCAGCACGACAGGCTTCCCTGTCCATCACCAACTCCTGGAGTTTACTCAAATTCATGCCCATCAAGTCGGTGATGCCATCCAGCCATCTCATCCTCTGTCACCCTCTCCTCCTCCTGCCCCCAATCCCTCCCAGCATCAGGGTCTTTTACAATGAGTCAGCTCTTCGCATGAGGTGGCCAAAGTACTGGAGTTTCAGCTTCAGCATCAGTCCTTCCAATGAACACACAGGACTGATCTCCTTTAGGATGGACTGGCTGGATCTCTTTGCAGTCCAAGGGACTCTCAAGAGTCTTCTCCAAAACCACAGTTCTAAAGCATCAATTTTTCAGCCCTCAGCTTTCTTTACAGTCCAACTCTTACATCCATACATGACCAATGGAAAAACCGTAGCCTTGACCAGATGGACCTTCGTTGGCAAAGTAATGTCTCTGCTTTTTAATATGCTATTTAGGTTGGTCATAACTTTCCTCCCAAGGAGTAAGCGTCTTTTAATTTCATGGATGCAGTCACCATCCACAGTGATTTTGGAGCCCAAAAAATAAAGTCTGACACTGTTTCCACTGTCTCCCCATCTATTTCCCATAAGGTGATGGGACCAGATGCCATGATCTTAGTTTTCTGAATGTTAAGCTTTAAGCCAACTTTTTNCCCAGGGAATAAGCTGCAGCTGCTTTCCCTTCTCTAAACCATCAACTCTGCCAAGTTCATCCTGAGGAGGAAGGAGTTACATAGGAGAAGATTACGCAGCCCAACAAGTCACTCCCAAAGTGACCTGGGGAGTGGAGAAGAAACACAGTAAATAGGAAAAAAATTGTCTCCCACTAAGAATGGTTTTATTGTAAAGATGAAGCAAAACCATGACTTGCAGAATGGAGCTGGAGGAATCAACCTTCCTGACTTCACACAATACTACAAAGCTACAGTCATCAAGACAGTATGGTACTGGCACAAAAACAGAAATACAGGCCAATGGAACAAGATAGAAAGCCCAGAGATAAACCCACACACCTATGGGCATCTTACCCTTGACAAAAGAGGCAAAACTACACAATGGAGAAAAAGATAGCCTCTTCAATAAGTGGTGCTGGGAAAATGGGACAGTTATGTGTAAAAGAATACAATTAGAACACTTCCTAACACCATACACAAAGATAAACTCAAAATGGCTTAAAGACCTAAATGTAAGACCAGAAACTATAAAACTTAGACTAAAACATAGGCAGAACACTCGATGACATAAATCAAAACAAGAACCTCTATGACCCACCTCCTAGAGTGATGGAAATAAAAACAACAGCAAACAAGTGAGACTTGATTAAACTTAAAAACTTCTGCACAGCAAAGGAAACTATAGCAAGTTAAGAACACAACCCTCAGAATGGGAGAAAATAATAGCAAGTGAAACAACTAGCAAAGGATTAATTTTAAAAATATACAAGCAACTCATACAACTCAATGCCAAAAAAACAAACAACCCAATCAAAAAGTAGGAAAAAGACCTATACAGACATTTCTCCAAAGAAGACATACAGATGGCTAACTGACACATGAAAAGATGCTCAACATCACTCATTATTAAAGTGAAGTGAAGTCGCTCAGTCATGTCCAACTGTTTGCGACACCATGGACTGTAGCATCCAACCTGCATTTCTTCTATCTCCTTCACTGGCAGGCCAGTTCTTTACCACTAGAGCCACCTGGGAAGGTCCAAGTGAGAATAAGCATGGTTATAAACAAAGATAGGGTTATGGCTGCCAGGACAGTTAAAGATAAAGACATGAATTCTCCTTCAGAGCCATCACTTGCATTCTCTCTTGTCTGATTTTCCTTGTGTTGGTCCCTTCTCCTTGTCCAGTGTTACACTTGATCAGAATACCAAACTACTACTACTACTAGCATTAACATATTTTCCTCCCTTTGTTTTGTTTTACTCCATATAGTTATCAATGACTGAAAGTAGAAAATGTATTTATTCACTTATTTATTGTCTGTCTCTCCCATTGGAATGCAAACTCCAGGGAGAATTTTTTTTTCTCCCCCCTCACATTTATTACTGTGAACTAGAGCTGCAAAATCAGATAAGTTTTAATCATTTGCTAGAAAAATAAAATTACATATAATATTCCTTTCTGTTCAGGTCATGTGGCAGAGAGGCAAAATTAGCAATACTAACAATAAAAATTTACCAAGTATTTATTTTTATTTTAATCAAGTGTTTACTAAGGTAAGTTTTTTTCACATCTACCTCTGTGGTTTCATTTCAGCTGTGTTGTCTTTGGTAGTTAAGGTCTTATCTAGAGTCTAACAAGCATATTTTATACTACTATATGTTATTATTAATGTTGCTATTAAATGTTTTTATTTTCTTTCATTTTTAAAAAGGAACAATGAGAATACTCATGAAAACATGATGGACCACCCAAAATGTAATCAATATAGAAAGAGGATTTTAAATAACAGGTAAATTGGAGAAGGAAATGGCAACCCACTCCAGTACTTTTGCCTGGAAAATCCCCATGGGTAGAGAAGCCTGGTGGGCTATAGTCTATGGGGTTGCAAGAGTCGGCACAACTGAGCAACTAAGCACACAGCACAATATTAGTAAATTAAACCTAACAAAGTTAATAGAACCAAATTTGTTTCTTGCTAGATTTTTCTAATAATTATGTTGGTAGCTAACCATGTTCACAGGAAAAATAGAATCCTATATAAAAATGCCCAAATATGTGGAAATGAAATATACACTTATTTGTTTTAAAAAATATGAAGAGACTACATGGTGACTCTGGGTATGCAAAGCTAACTAAGACATTTCTCTGGTCCATGAAAGTTAATACTGTAATGAGTGAAACAGAAAATTTCAGTAAAATATATTTTATGGTTAAGTTAGCTTGTCACAGGGGTTAGGAAATCTCTGCATGATCTAAATCTTAAAGACAATGTAAGAGCATAAAAACATACAAAATGAACTTTCTATTATATGACTTTGAGATATCTGGAAAACATATAACAAATAATTAAAGAATATATGAAAGAACAGATATAGATAATTATGTGTCAATTTATCCTCATATACATAGAAAATCTAAACATGCTTACAGCGGAAGACAAAAGCTATCCCTTAAATACATTTATTATTTCTTCTAAATATACTCTAACTAGAACCAGGATATTTGGCCAAAAAGTCATCCTTATTAAATTATACACAGTAGAAAGTAACTAAAATTTACTCAAAATTTAATACTAGCAAGTAGCATCCTTTAGCAAATCACAGAACTGATTATTAATCTGTTTGTTTGTTTTTTTTAAGTACCCATACAGCATGCCTTGGTCAAACACCATACACAGCCTTGTTACAATAAAGATCAAACATGCATGGTACATTCACAAATTCAGTAACATTTCATACTATAATGTTTAATGTTTCTTTATGCTTAATGTTTCTTATTAATAGTTGAGCAACTCCTAAACTATCTCTAAGCAATTTTTCTGACCAGAATTAAAATGTTTGATTATTTTCTTTTCCCTGGTAACATATCAAATAAGGAAAAGTATGGCCAGGTCAAATGATACTACCATAACACAGTCACTCTTTCTCAATTGATTTTAAGAGATACTTTATGAATAAATCTCTATAAATAGTTATTTCAACAAAACAAAGAATTTGAAAGCAGAGGATATTTCCCATTTATAAAATGGGGAAATGATGTAGTTCAGATGCAATGTAAATCATTTCAAATATCCAAGTTCATAAATTTATTAGCTTATTTGTCTTTCAGGATCAGTTAAGTCATTTAATATCACTGACACATTACAAAAAATAAGTGGAACTCTCATGCGTGCATGTGCGTGTGCTAGTAGCTTAGTTGCGTCCAACTCTTTGCAACCCCATGGATTGTAGCCTGCCAGGCTCCTCTATTCATAGGATTCTTCAGGCAAGAACACTTGAGCGGGTTGCCATTTCCTTCTCCAAAACTCTCTTAGATTTGCAGATAAGTATTTGAAATTGCTTCAGGTAACAGGATCAGAGTGAAGTGGAGTGGAAAGATAAAATGAGGGGATGGGATATATGGGATGGGATCAGAAGATGCAACTGAAGAAAGAAAAAGGATCCGGTCAGGAAATTAAAGAAAATGAGTACACACATAGAGAAACATCCTACAGAGGACACGAAAGAAGTGAACAGATTTGATAGCCACCTAAACAAAGGACTGAAAAAGAATAAAACACAGAAGTACATGCTTTGGGAGAAAAAGTCCAGGAGTTTATTTTCATGAAGATTAAGAAGATATCAGAAAGTGCAGAGTAGTCCTAAAAGGGTAAAGATTATGGGAACTGATGGGAAGACAACTCAGATGTGCTTGTGAATATGGCCACCCTGTTACAACTGATTCCCTGTGAATCTTTAGTACAAATTCAAAGTTCATACCTTTGCTTTATCTCTCATTGATCCTTTGCCCAGGATAGACATTTTAGCACCTGTTTCTTCCTGTAGCCTCTTCAAAGAGTTTCCTCTCGGTCCGAGCAATTTGCCCACAAAGTTGAACTAGGAAACAAAATCATTAGAACATCTATATTAAGTAGAGAAAAGCAATGATTTAAACCAAGCAAAACTGATGGGTTATGGTTTTTCGAACTTTACCATGTAGAACAGAGTTATGCCTCACACACACACAGGAAACCAGCCTCTCACATACCCAAACACACACACACACACAGACACACACACACACAGGAAACCACCCCAGACCTATGAGCTCAGATACCCTTTTAAAGAGATGCTTCTTCCTAAAGAAATGCTAGAGTCAGTAATCTTTTGAAAATATAATTTACTCATATAATCACATAAATTATTTAAAAAGAACTTAGGGAGAAGTACTATGGTTTATAAAATTTCTACAGGGTTTTCTCTCCAATCAGATTATTGAAATAAAGAAAAATTTTAACATGCCTGTGCACATTCAAAATTGCAAAAATAAAATAAATAAATAAATAAAAACTTAAATTTATTTTAAATTAAAATTTAACATTCATGTTTGGCAAGCATTGTCTATGCCCGTAAGAGTCCATTTTAAATTTCATGATTGGTAATAAAGAGATTCAACTGTTCTTCAATCTTACCTTCTTTGTGTTAAAGAGTTGTTCTAAAGATCAGCAAATAAGAGATGTGAATGCATACAAAAGGGTTTAAAATGCTAGAAAGAGCATATATACAAAGCAGTTTGCTTACATGCAAAATTCTAGGGCTCAAGGCATGTATAACTGACTTATTAATTATGAAATCTGGTTATAAAGAAGGGAAATAAAGGCAGTTATCAGCATTTGTTGCCAGCTACTAAATGAATATCATTACATGAAATGGCTGATGTAATTACTCATTAATTAAAAAAAAAGGATTAGAATGCATTAAAGATTATGTTGGGCATGTGAAACAGAAATAAACAAAATTAAGTAACTATCTTCTATATCAGAGTTATCATATATTTTTAAATACCCAGAGTAAGAAATAAACCACACTTAATGGTGAAAGACTGAACATTTTCCCCATAAATACAGGATCAAGTCAAGACACCTGTTCTCACCACACTGTCTCAGTGCTCCGCTGGAGTGTGGATATCTACAGGCATGTAAGACAAATGGTATGGAATAAGGTGCAAAAAGACCACATTTAGATCAATTGATTCTCAACCAAAGGGCCAGAGCACTTTTGAAAACATTTGGAAAGTAAAATCTTTTTAACAAATGGTTCTGGAACAACTGGATGTTCATATGCAAAAACAAGCACAAAAAAATACCTTTACATTCTAACACACATTAAAGCAAAGTGAAGTTGCTCAGTCATGTCTGACTCTTTGTGACCCTATGGACTGTAGCCCACCAAGCTCCTGCATCCATGGGATTTTTCCAGGCAAGATACTGGAGTGGGTTGCCATTTCCTTCTCCAGGGGATCTTCCCATCTCAGGGATCAAACTGGGCCTCCCACACTGCAGGCAGACTCTTTACCGTCTGAGCCACCAAGGACTCCCTGGGCTAGGAAGATCCCCTGGAGGAGGGCACAGCAACCCACTCCAGTATTCTTGCTTGAAGAATCCCCATGGACAGGGAGCCTGGGGGCTACAGTCTATGGGGTCACAAAGAGTTGGACACGACTGAGAAACTTTCACAACACACATTAAAGCAACTCCTATTGTAAGGTCTACCATAGGTCTAAGCTAAGAAAGGAAGAGAAGTGAGGGACAAAGGAGAAGAGGAAAAATTTACCCATCTGAATGTAGAGTTCCAAAGAATAGCAAGGAGAGATAGAAAGAGATATTTAAGAGAAACTCTTCTTAGCTGAAAAAATACAAAGAAAGAGAGGAAAATAATAGAATGGGAAAGACTAGAGATTCCTTCAAGAAAATTAGAGATACCAAGGAAATATTTCAGAAATGGTAAGGACCTAACATAAGCAGAAGAGATTAAGAAGTGGGGGCAAGAATACACCGAACTGTACCAAAAAAGTCTTAATGACTTAGACAACCATGATAGTGTGATCACTC